TCTTCTATTTTTCAGCATTAAAAGAATCTGTCAACTTTGTGGCCATGACCTATCTTTTGCTTTCGTGGAATGTTTTTACTTAACATTATGGAGTTTCAGCGATACATGAATAGATTGGATTTTTGCTATACTACTCAATCTCTTTGCCATCGAAACTCTTCGCTTAGGAAAGGCAGAGAAATTAAAGTGATACGTGTCGTAGGACATAAATATTTCCAGACTCCTAAAGTTTTACTTTGAGACTAGGAAAATAGAAAAATAGCGTGGTTCTTAAATTTCCTTGGAAACACTGTTATTCATTTAGATGCGGAAACGTTGCAGCCATATTGGAGCTAGACGAGCAGCTGAATAAAGAATTTACCATATTTGAAGCAGCGCCTCAAGTAAGTGACTTTCTCAGCTTAAGATTTTTTTGAAGAAAAATTTGGTCGCTCAATCTAGCCATTATTTTACATTAACCTCTTCAAGGAAAATCGTGGTGCACCAGCGAAGAAACCTCAACCGGACTACTTCCTTTAGACAGACAGGACAAACAGGATTTGTGTGCAGTGTGTGCGTGTATTTGCGGTGAACGCTCAAGCGATTTCTCATGATGATTCCTCTCTATATGAATTGGATATTCGTTGTTCTGAACAAACTGGTTGTAATTATCGGATAAATATTAACACATCTGTAGTAGTGGGCTTGGTCTCACAGATATATGGGGTGTATTATGCAAATATATGGAAGTTCTCCAAATAAGGCTTTAAAAACTTGACGAAAAGTACTCCTGAAGCGATGGAATCATCAACGATCGGTAATAGGTTGGAGTTGTCCCTCAAATTCTTACTCATACGTCTTGAATAAATATTTTCTTTAATGTTTTGTTGCCTATTATTGATACGTTCTGTAGACGTATGGTACCTATCTCTGCTGTGATTCTAGCTAATGGAGAGGACTTAAATGGGCAAGTTCTTATCGATGCATGTTGTGAAGACTGAAGTTTTAGATGCGGGAGTGCAGATTATTGGTTTACAGCCTAGAAAAAGCACAGCAGTTTTTTTTTGTTACCTGTTCAAATGTCTGACTTTAGTGACTGGTAAAGGAAGTACTTAGTCGTTAAACATTAATTCGAAATTTTTTCGAACCATTTCTTTAGAACAAGCTATAGCCTTTTATTGGTTTATGCCTTATTGGGCTTTGAAAAAGGTTTAAAAGCCACAAACAGTTCCGCTGATTATACATTTGTGATAGAATTGCTGAAGTTTAAAGTAGTCAAAAGGTCCTGAAAGATATTTTCGGCGGAAGACATTTTTAAGCATTCAAAAGTACGCTTTATTTTCGGATTGCTACTTTGACAAAGTATCCTTCCCTACAAAAATGCATCAAAGAGTGGCCATGCGAAAACATACTTACTTCTTGTCTGGAGGCTTGGTCCTCAAAAGATGATTGCGATTTGTCATTGTTGCTCATTCCAAATTTCATTTTGGTCTTGACTCGTCATCTTCCACCCTTTAATGATTTTTGAGCAAAACAATCATCCATTTTTTATTAAACAAATCTTGTTTGATGTTTTTTCTGAAGTTGTTGTCTTTTATGTACGGTATTGCTGGCTTAAACTTAGGATTGGTTTTTGATTACTTTCCTCATCAGCCTGTTTTCTTCTAGATGCTTCACTATGAAATCGTGGAAGATAGCTATTTTTTTCCATTTCTTGTTTAAAACTATGGAAGTTGTATTATTTAACGATATGACTTATAGCGAAAATGTTGCGTGCACTCCAAAGATCATTTATCTCTACCTCTCGTCTCTACTCAACGGCGACTCCAAAACTTTCATCAGAGCTCAAGAATAAGATTGACAAGATGGTCAAGGTGAGGGTGGTATTATCCTCAAAACGTTTAATGTATATCTGCTTGGCTGTTTAGGCGGACGATGTCGTAGTTTTTATGAAAGGAACTCAACAAGAGCCGATGTGTGGATTCTCACGAAACGTTAAATTAGTAAGCATGTGCAATCCTTCCTATCTTTTTTCTCATTTGCTTGATTTTCTTTCAGGTTCTAGACTTTCACGATGTAAAATTCAAAGATTACAATGTACTGGAAGATCAAGAACTGCGGGAAGGAGTTAAGGCTTACAGTGAGTGGCCAACGATTCCTCAGGTATGAGACATCTGCTAAACGAGTTTAAGCGAAGCCAAATGTTTTCCTGTCAGGTGTTCGTGAAGGGAGAGTTCGTCGGTGGATGTGATATTGTAGTGCAAATGCACAAAGATGGAGAAATTTCGTGAGTTTTTTTTT